TCATGAATGTGTTTAGCTTGTTTCTCTCCCCTCCGCATGAGTCTCAACTTTGCAACTTTTATTTTCCTTATTTCTAATCTATTCTAATGTTGACAAAGTCCACAGAAACAGGGAATAGAGGTAATATAACTTTCAGAATACATACACTCAAAATATGAATTGTTTTCACGCAAGTAGTGAGAGTTGAGAGTTGTTTCTCTCACTAGAATTCTTCTAGGTTGCTCTACTACCCTCCGGCGCCGCCAACCGCGGCGGTCGCCGCCGCCGGAGCCTCTTGGCTCCGGTGGGCTTCATGGTTGCTTGGCTATGGATTTTTGGAAACTGGTACGTGGGTTACGGGAAGTATGGGGGATTTTTGGTCTTCTTTGACCGAAAGCTTCGAAGGTTGCTGTCATGGACGTTTGGAGAAGCTGGGCTGCCGGATATCTACCTGGATGTAGCCATTGACTAGTCTGAGGGCGACCTGGACAGCTTGATCTTACGGGGTTCTCTCCTGGAAGCATTGACCACCACCGATAAACCGGCCGGCCGGGGCCACTGCGTGCTGAGGAGAGGGCATGTACAGGGGCGAGGATTGGGGAAGGTGGGGGTTGGTGACTATAAAGGAAGTGTAATTCCGGCGGTGAGAGACTGGATGGGTTGTCCGAGGAAGTTCAGGCGACGGAAAGTGTGATTGAGTCAACTAGATTTCTCTGATGTTGGGTTACTGGCCATGGTGTTCCGTTCCGTGACGAGTGCTTTGAGATTTTGGGTCGCCGGAGAAGACGACCGGTGAAAAAGATTTGGGGATGGTTTTGACCGGTAACTGACTGGTTGGGTTCGCTTTTAAGGGTCTTTGACGACCAGAAACCCTTTTTGATTATTCTGGGTTCTTTTTGGAAGTCCTAGTTCTCTGCTCACAAACAAGCCCACCGGAAAACCTATTTCTCGACGGCAATGGCGGCTAGTAATTCTGGGGAGCGGTTTTTGAGGATGGGCTGCTACTAGGGTGAACGGGCTGGGTCCTGGAGAGGATGAAGTTGGGTGGTGGGTTAAATGTTGACGGATTTGAATTAGGCAGTCGAAACCGGCTGGTGTTTGTCTCTCTCCCACCGTTGCCGCTGGTGGATGCCGGTACCAGTCGGGGGTGGGGGGAGGGCTTGGGATAACGGTTGCCGGAGTCTTTGTGCCGGTTTTAATTTTCGATGGGAAAAGGGTCGCCAGAGAAGACGACCGGAAAACCTTTCGGGGTTGTTCTGGGTTATGGGTTACATTCCGGCTTATGGGTTCTCGCCGCCGCCAAAGCTGTCTGGGGATTGCCGGAACCGGACGGGGGTGCGGTGGGATGTTCTGCGGACTTCTCGCCGGCTGGTTCACCATGGATTGCCGGAGGGGATGACCGTTGACTGATGGGATGTCCTGCATGGATTGGACGGGACCGTACACGTCACAGGAGGGTCACTTCAATTTTGAATTTGAATTTTGATGGATGCGGCGCTGAGGCTTGAGATGCTGGACGGTTGCTTTGCCCTAATGGACCGTGTGCTGGCCTGGCTGCTGAAGTGTGGGCTGATTGCAAATGGGTTTCGGCTCGGAGATGATTTCATGGATATGTGCCTTTTGACGTGAGTTGGGCTCCGCTAGAGGTTGCTGCTGGACTACTTTTGCAGGGAAGGGGCTACTGTTTTGACGCAGGGAAGGGACTTCAAGGCCTGGACTGCTGGAGTAATTTTGGACTTTTGATGAATGAGCCGGGGGCCTGTCCCGTGCCATTCTTGGATTGAATTTGTTATTTTTTTTTTTTTGGACTTCTAAAAAAAAATGAATTGTTTTTACGGAAGTTATGCCAAAATAAGTAATACATACACCCCATTCAAAGGTTTCATTGTAAAATGACACATTTATTTAGACAATAATTAAATATGGTAACTTGAGTACATTTTGAAAAACAATTTTGATGATTATATAATACAATGGGGCCATTGATGATAATTGTGATGTTATATGCATTATTTTTAATACTTAACGATTGAATCGACATTTAGGAGTGTTATTTTGTTGCTACAATAGAAATGAGATCCTTTTAAATGGGATCAAATATACTAAAAAGAAAAGTGATTTCCTTTGAATGAGACGGAGGGAGTACGTATATTGATTATATGGATCGACTAAGCTTGAATAACGAAATATACACGAAATTGTACACGTTTTGTGTACACACCCCTTAGTTGTCTATGTACACAGATGGTTCCTTCAGAAACTGCTTGTGTACACAGGCAACTAGGAACATGTACACAAAATGTGTACAAATTTCGTGTACGAGTAGCACAACCAACTCAAATAATCCATCTATCCCACTCAAATTGCCCACTTTCATTTGAGTGTGAAATAAGAATAATAAAAATTGTATAGTTGATATTTGTGCAGACAAGATATAAATAAAGAAAACCACAAATTCATTACACTAAAAGGAAAGTGATAAAATTGAACCAAATTGTCCACTCTACTTTTAAAGGATGTCACTTCATCTCTGAGACTCCTCGTAACTGACTGAAGAGTTGTGCTAGTTGAGCTGATTCGGTACAAGTTATTATTACTTGGGACACGTTTACTTCACAGGTTAGTAAACGGTTCTTATTAAGACTCACGTTAATAAGCGGCGCATAAAATAAGCAGTGTTGTAAGCTCATGTTTACTTCAAAGGATTTAAAACACCGTTTAACATTAAAATGTCCAAAATAACCCTATAGATATGATATACACACACAAACATTCATGAACACAAGTATATAATATAATATGTGGGGTCACCTTGTACGCCTAGTCGCTTACCCACACCCCTAACCCCTACCCCGCCCTGTACCCCCACACCTCACCCTATCCCAATTCCACACCCTTGACCCCCACCCCTTTCCTACCCCTACCCTTACCACGACCTTACCCTTCACCCCTACTCCCACCCATACCAACCCCCACCCCACTCATGGGGGTTGGGTCGAGGTAGGGGCATGTGATATGGGGTAAAGGGGTGGGATCAGGGTTGGGGTCGAGGTGGGGTCGAGGTAGGGGCAGGTGGTAGGGGTAAAAGGGTAGGGTCGAGGTAAGGGGTACAAGTGGGGGTAGGGGTAGGGTGGGGGTAGGGGGTCAAGGGGGGTAAGGGATAGGGTGGGTCGAGGTAGGGGGTAAATGGGTAGGGTCGGGGTCAGGTCAAGGTAGGGGAAGGTGGTAGGGGGTAAAGGGGTAAGGATGAGGGTGGGGGTAGGGTAGGGCTGGGGTGGTAGGGTAGGGGTTGGGGGTAGGTGGTGGAGGGTAAGGTCAGGGTAGGGGTAAGGTGGGGGTGGGGTATGGTCGGGTCAAGGGTGGGGGTGGAGTCGGGTTAAGGTAGGGTAGGGTGAGGTAGTGGGGTAGCAATAGGGTAAGGGCAAGGGGTAAGGGTAAATTCGGAAACTGAAAAAGCTAAAAGTGCCGCTTAATTAATACATGCAGGGGCGGATGTATGCTAGGTCAGGGGTGGGCTTCAGCCAAGCCCAATTTTTTTTTATAATAGTATTGGTACATTTTCAAATCTCAGCCCAGCCTAAATTATTTGTCAGCCCACCCCACAAATAATTTGTGAATCAGTGAAGTTATGAACTTCTGCCGTGAATTTGTAAACTGTGATTAACTGATTGTGTATTAAACTATTAATGTATTAATTATTACTGTATTATTTTTAGCATTTTAGAGTTTTAGGGCTAGGGAATCATACAATCGTTTTGATTATTAGTTGAATTTTTCAGTACATAATTAAATAGTTTTATTTTTTTATATATTAGTATTTTAATATATACCAATATTGAAAATGTTTTTTAGAATGGATAATGAACATGTTGCCAAGAAGGAAAAGAAGTTGATTTCATCATTCTTTTCGAAAGTGAATCGTCAAACTGGTGAATGGAGTTCTGAACCTATACCTACAACAACGTAAGATCTAGTCAATGAGGATCCTCCACATGTTGTAATCCCTGAAATCTAAACTATCTCAAATTTGGATTTCAATGCTCAATAGACATGCTCGAATGTAGAAGTTTAGACTATTCTCGTTAATAGATTCATGTTCAAATTATTCAATAAGTATTCAAATTTTTATTAATCATTAATAAATTTATAAAAATTGCACTAAAACGTTTAAATTTTATGATATGTACAATAATATAATTTATATGTGAACGATAGGCTCGTGTTCGGATCGAAACATCACTATGTTCGATCTCGGCTTGAATAATTATTCAAACTCAAAACCTACTCCGTGTTCGAGTTCGAAACTTGTTAAACTCAATTCATTAAATTAGATTCGAAATCAAGCTCGAACTCGAGTATATAATTCAAAAAAATCTTTGTTCGATAACAACCCTGGGCTAAATTTGGTATGTATAGTAAAAAAAATTACTGCTGATTAGCTCACCCCATCTCTCGATCCTGGATCCGCCCCTGAATACATGTGGGTGATATGCTTAGTAAGTGGCACTTTAAGCACACCTTTCGATTAATAAGCATCATTTTAAGCAACTTGCGTGTTACTTCACCTGTCTTACTAACCTAACTGTGACTTTGCAGCGAAGTAAATGTCTCCTTGGAGTTTGAACCGGTGACTTCTTATCCACCTTACCCTAATTGGCATCACAAAGACACAAACCCAAATTTGGGCCTCTGCAAGTATCGGTGGGCGTAGCTCAACTGGTAGCAAAGGAGTGACACAAGAGTTAGGTCCCGCGTTCGAATCTCGGCAACTACGATGAGGGGTTACTATGCTAAAAATGCATAGGGCCTCTGCAAGTACCGAGGAGCCCCACTCTCTATCTGTCAATAGTTCAATTTACATCCTCCCAACGTACCGTCCGATTGAGGTTGAGAGGCCCTCAAGTATTGTCAATAATTCAATTTACATCCTCCCAACGTATTGTCCGGTGGTTGAGGGGCCCTCAGGGATGAGGTGTATTTTTTTTTCAAAAATCGGGATGTATGGCCGCCTTCCATTTCTTATCGCGCCAGGTCAGGAAGTCGAATGCAGATAACATAGAATCTTTGAAGGGTAGTGTAGTCAATGACAAAAACTTATCGTTAATGCGGTGAAGAAGGCTATGCCAGGGGCATGACTGTCATAAAACAAAACAAAAATTGGTTGGAAACTCTGGCCTCCGTATATAACCAGCAATCCTTTTTCCATCTTCCATCGTCAAGGCGCTCGCGGCAATCTTTTGTGGAAGTAGAAAGGGGGTGTCTTTTCTTCTTCTTCTTCTACTTTGTTTCTCGTCTCTGTAAGTCTGTAATTACGTATTCTGTACAGACCTTGTATCCCTTTCTGGATGTATGGCTGATGGCTCATAACTCATAAGGTGATTAAGGCCTGTGTGTGATTAAATTCTGATTTAGATCTTTCTGGCGACTTAGGTTTATTGGATCTCGCCTGTCATTTGTATCGAGGAATACCACATCTCCATAAAGCTTCAAACTTCAATATTGTAAGTACGATTCCTGATTCTTTTTTTTGCGTACAGATTTGCTTGAATGAATCATGCCCGTTTGTTTGTTTGTTTCATGGGTTGGTGTTTGATCATTTCGTTTTATTCAATTTTAGGATTTTTTAGAGGATGTTGGGATGTTCTGCCAAATTATGCTTTTAGGGATCAGTTTCAATTCCTGAATCCTATGTGTAGGGTGACCTACGGTTGACCTACATAAAGAATTCTATAATCTATACTCCTTTTTTAATTCTTTATGTGTATTCTTTATGTGACCTAGTAGAAAGGTCTCGGTTCATCTCCAAGAAAAGATTTGGAATGAAGGCTCATTCTCTTTCTATCAGTGTGATCAAAGCTCAATTTACATACCCAGATAACTATCCAGTAGGTTTTGGGGTCCTTATGTGTCATCCTTATTTTTTATTTATTGATGATTACATACCCAGATCACTATCCAGTTGGTTTTGGGGTCCTTATGTGTCATCCTTATTTTTTATTTGTTGATGATTACGGAGTATTATAAATTTTCAATTTGCCTCTATCCATAAAATTAGCCAAATTTACTACTCCGTATATGTTAGTACAATTAGCAAAGTAAATCTATTATGTTTATGGAGTTTTTCCGGGACTTGAATTCACCAGAAAAAATTATTTTATACCTTCTTTTAAAGTGCTTACATATTGCTTATCAACTATGGTAAGTGTATTTAGGATTGGTTTCATTCTATTTGGTGCTGGGGTGGCGGCATTATATTATCATATCAGGCAACTGTACACGATATTACTAATAATAAGCTTTTTATTCTTAAATGTGGCCTAAGTTGTGTTCTCTATTCTCGCTGGAATTCAGAGTTTGTTGGTTCCTCTGTTGATATCATTGCTCGACTAATATATTTAAATTTAAAATAAACATTCACAGGCAAGACTGAATGATATAATGGAGTCCAAAGGTGGAAAGAAGTCTAGTAGTAGTAGTAAATCAGTGTTCTATGAAGCCCCTCTTGGTTATAGCATTGAAGACGTCCGACCAAACGGTGGAATCAAGAAGTTCAGATCAGCTGCTTATTCCAACGTAAGTCCCCCTCCCCCCCCCCCCCCCCCCCCCCCAACAACCCTTGTTTTTAGTTTTTGCATTTGATATCACTATTAATTGTTTTACATTATTATCCCTTCACTGCAGTGCGCCCGGAAACCATCCTGATATTTCTTCACTAGTGTTCTGATCACGTCTTGAGGCGTGCTGCTACTAAAGCTATTAACTGTTCTATTACCTATTTAGTTTTCTTTGTCCCTTTTAAGTACAACTAAAACCCACATTTCCGTTATCCTTTCTCTTTCTGTTGCCTTCACTTACCCCCTTTTAGGCACCTGTCTTTATTGAACCTCTTTCTGGCTTAAAAAGATCCATTTTTAGAAATGGCCATGTCTGTCTCTGCAATTGGTTTTGAAGGATATGAGAAGAGGCTTGAGATTTCTTTTTTCACGCATCCTGAAGGAAAAGGCCTTAGATCCCTTTCCAAATCCCAGCTGGATGAGTTTCTTGGACCCGCTGAGTGCACAATAGTTGCTTCACTGTCAAACGAGTTTGTAGACTCTTATGTCCTGTCTGAGTCGAGCCTTTTCGTTTATCCCTACAAGATAATCATCAAAACCTGTGGGACCACCAAATTGCTCCTATCAATCCCGCCCATCCTAAAGTTGGCGGGGTCACTCTCTCTTGAAGTACAATCTGTGAGGTACTCCCGTGGCAGCTTCATCTTCCCGGAAGCTCAGTCATACCCTCACCGTTTCTTCTCAGAAGAAGTCGCCATTCTGGAAGGATTTTTCGGAAACCTCAGCTCGGGAAGTAAGGCTTACATCATGGGAGGCTCCAACAAGCAACAGAAGTGGCACGTTTACTATGCTTCGGCTTCTTCTACTCCCACTTCCAAGCCCAAGAGCAGCCACCCTGTTTACACCCTGGAAATGTGCATGATCGGTTTGGACAAAAAAAAGGCTTCTGTGTTTTATAAACACGATGCCAGCTCAGCAGCGATGATGACCGTTGAATCTGGAATCCGGAAGATCCTACCTCGGTCCAATATATGTGACTTTGAGTTTGACCCTTGTGGATACTCCATGAATTCTATTGAAGGAACTGCCCACTCCACAATCCATGTCACTCCGGAAGATGGATTTAGCTATGCTAGCTTTGAAGCTTCGGGATACGACCTCAAAGCTATGAATCTCACAGCGTTGGTTAAAAGGGTTTTGGCATGTTTCATGCCCAGGGAGTTTTCTATAGCCATTTATGCTGATGCTCTTCCCGGCAAGGTGCTCGAATCAGTTTGCTCGGTGGACTTGAATGGTTACTTTCTTGGTGAGAGATGCAATGGAGAGTTCGGAAGTGGTAGTTCTATTGTCTACCAGAAGTTTGTTAGGGACTATGCTTACCGTTCATCCAGGCCTGTTCTGAAAGGATGCTCCTTGTAAGACGAAGTAAGCTGAAGAAGAAGAGGTGGAGTTGTACCTTGGTTGGTTTTCGTGGTACTCTTTTTATGTTGTCTCTGTTTATAATATTATTTTCTACTTGAATAGAGTCTTGTTTACCGTTTGTTTACACTGGCTTCTATATTTGTTTTGTTTGTTCTAATCCATGGGCCTAGCCTGTCAATGGATTATGGGCGTGTATACCTGTTCTGGGCTTCTGTTGTATGCTTGTATACGTTTGAAAAATGAGAATTGGTATTAAATTTTAAAATTAGCACAATAACATTTTGATGATTATATAATGAAAATAATACTCATAAATGAAGAAGTTGATTTGTAGCATAATATATTACGTGTAGATCATGTTTTAAATCACCAACACTCATTTGTTTTAAATGTTATACTCATTTGTTTGACATAAATACTTGATTATACAGTGAGCATTGCATAATTAGGTGAATAGAGTATAATAAGAGTTACTCGGTCAAAATTGACTTGCATGTAGTACTACGTATAATAGAATAAAAGCTATGTGGTTACATTTATGAAGAAGAGAAATAAATTTGACCACATATTTATTAGGGAAATTTACTATTAACTCCCTGAGGTTATGTCATAATTATTAATGCAACCTTGCATTTTAAAAAATCAATTACTTACCCCTTGAGTTTGGATCATTCTTGTTCTTTGCTCCCTCACTTTAGTATTTGTTAAATTTAAATTTAATATAATTCTTAAATTCAATGGAAAATGTCTATAAAATTAATTTTTAATGTAAAACACAACTTGGTATCATAAATATAAGTCATTGTTGTTGATCATAGTTAATAAAAAAATTTAAATAAATTAAAAACCAAGTTATTTTAGGTCTTAGATCGATAGCTTTCGATTATTCAGATCATGGAATAATTGGAATAATCATCACACATTTTGTCTTTTAAGTCCCTTATTGATACTAAACATATCTTTTAGGTCATGGAATGATAAAAAAAACTTACTATTTCTTCTTTGCTACACACGAAAGAAATGACAAACAAAACCGGTATTCCATGATGGGCCTAAATATATAAGGAGTATTTTGTATGATACATTTTACTTTTTCGTTTGTCTAAACATATGAACATTTTGCTCAATAAATTTCTCACTTTTTATTTTCTTAATTTATCTTTTTAGGTATGATTTCATCTTTTACTGTATGTAGACTCACTGTTTTTTCTAACTTTTTGGATGTCAATATTGTGAAACAATCATTCATTTTGTCCTTTTCAGCGTCTAAACGAAATGTATCTTACAATATGAGAGAGAGTATGTGCTTAAGAATATCTAAGTAGTATAAGCAGTCTGTATGATATGCATACATGTTTATTATTGTAATGATAATGAAACCAAGCATTCCAGTCCAGCTGGTTGTGAGGTATTGAGTTCAAAATCCACTAGGCACATAAGAGTTTGAAACTCAATGAAGTGAGTTTCAGTCCTGATTACTCCAGGCCCTCCAGCTCTTCTCCCCCAGAACCCCTGGAGTAAAAAAAATATTGTAATGATAATGATATGCATATCAATGATAAAGGAATGAAGTATTTTCATTAACTAAAATCGTGTGTTACATGAGTATTAATAGCTAGTACAGGACTGTAGATGAGGATAACTACAACAAGAGATATGCATGAAATTAATTACATTTAATAATAATAGAATAAATAACTATTAACTAAGGTTTATCCTTTACACGCCCCCGCAAGATGGAGGATCCGTCAGTGACTCCAATCTTGGACCGGAAATGAAGAAATAACGCCCGACCCAATGGTTTTGTAAGGACATCAGCCAATTGGGCTTTGGAGGAAACATGTTTAACCAAGAGTAGATCAGCGGCAACAAGATCACGAACGAAAAAATAATCCAAGGACAGATGTTTCATCCTGGAATGAAAGACTGGATTTTTACAAACATAAGTGGCACTTAAGCTATCAGTGAATAATTGTGGAGCCGTTGTGGAAGAAACGTGCAACTCAGCAAGTAAGTTTTGGGCCTAAAGAATTTCAGCATTAGCAATAGCTCTATACTCGGCTTCGGTGGACGAACGGGATACCGATTTCTGAAGAGCAGACTTCCATGAAACAATGTTGGATCCAAAATATAGAATATATGCAGTTGTAGAGTGGCCAGAGGTGGTGATGCCACCCCAATCAGCATCGGCAAAAGCAGTGAGTTGTAATTTAGAGTCCGATCGGAGAAGAAGACCGATCAAGGAACTAGAATAGTTGTTGGGGTGATTGTCATGACTGAAAAACCGAAGGGAAAAAAATTGTATAGAGAGAAATCTATAAGGCTCTTGATACCATATCAATGATAAAGGAATGAAGTATTTTCATTAACTAAAACCGTGTGTTACATGAGTATTAATAGCTAGTACAGGACTGTAGATAAGGATAACTACAACAAGAGATATACATGAAATTAATTACATTTAATAATATTAGAATAAATAACTATTAACTGTGTAGAGGAGAGATAAATGTGCAAGAAATGTTGTGAACCATACTTTTTTGCCAAAAAATGAGGAGGTTATTTTGGAATAATTGAAAATGAATAGTTGGAATATAATTCAGAATGGAGGGAGTATTTTTTTTGGGATAAAAGATAAATATATAAATGACAAAGTAATGTACTGTTTACATGGCTAGCCCCTATCTATGTGAAGCAAAACAAACTTTGCTTAGCAATTAAACATTCATCAAGCAAAACAAAACTACCCAAAATAAATTCGACTAAAAGATAAAAAATCTATCATACTTGCGGGATAAATCCTAAACAAAACATGACAAACAAGGAATCTTATATGTGATACAATTGCCCTCAACGGTTACTGATTTAATGTTGAAAATGTAGTCATTTCGAGCATTCTGAATAGAGTAAACAGCCTTTTTCTATAAAATAATAGATGTTGCAAACATTTCAAAAAAGTGTTCTTCTGTAACAACTTCTAAAATGATTGTTCTTCTGTAACAACTTCTATTTAACTAAGTATGCACTTAAAAGTACGTTAAAAACTGAAAGCAAAAGGATGGTGCTTTAAACTCTTATCACTTTTCTACTAAATAAAAAAAACAAATTTTTATCGAACACTATCAATTTGTACTTTTTTCAAAAATATTTTTCTCAAGCACTATCAAATTTTACTATTAATATCTTTTTCTAGAATTACATAATATAATTACTTTTTAAAGTAGAAGTAATCGCATACTCCTTTAATATTCTATAATTTGTGCGTCCAGACTACTTGTTACAAGTAATTCTTGTAAATAATCTTGATTTTGATTTCAATCCTTGATTTCACATATATTGAACTTTATCATATAAGTTTTAAGTAGAGAATAGATCCTGTCAGGCGCGTCCGACAAGGTGCACCATTCAGAGTTGCCCGTTTGAGAGCTTTTATGATGAATTTTTTGAACATTGTTCCTCATCAAGTCTAGTTTATGCATATCAAATTTCAGTTCAAAATTCAACCGGGAACACATTTAAATAAATTCTTGAAACATACTATGTATTATGTACACATATAAATTCACGTTTTGATTTTGTGCCAAGATTGAGAACATGAGAAATATGTGACCATAAGTTCATAATAATGCCGTGCATAATAATTTTTTTACCGTTTAGCAAAAATAGTAGGGGTGGGCAAAAATACCGAATCGACTTGGTACCGAACCGAACCGGTATGATACCGGATGAAAAACGGGATTTGAAACGGATCTCAAATTTTTTGTCCCGAACTGGACCGTACCGATTCTAAACAATGCCATGACCGGTTCTCATAAAATGAGAACCAGTACCGGACCGAAGTATGGTTTAATTATTTATATTTTTATTTATACCATTACTTTGAGTCTTTGACTAGTGACTTCACACTTTCACCGCCTTTGCTAGTTCATAGAAAGTCTCGACTTGGACCGATGTATGATTTAATTATTAAAATTTGTACTACTATAACTTATCTGAAATTTATTAATTATGTAATACTACCTCCGTCCCAAATTGATTTGCAAAATTAACTTTCTTGATCAAACAGTTTAATTTTATTCACTTAATTTGGATGCCAATTTTTAGTTTTTATTAATTTGGAGTTTGCAACTTTGAAGAGATTTTAATATAATTCTGAATATGTAAATTTTAATTGTTAAAAATTGAATCAATTATCAATAAAGAGAATTTAACTTTACCATTGGTGACAAAAAAACATTGACTTTTCATATCAATTTAGGACGGAGGGAGTATGAAAATTGATAAATTGTGGATTTTTGAAGGATTGCTAAACTTTAATTTCCTCTTAAACACTTGAAAAAATTGACATTGTTCAGTATTAGTATGACATGATACCGTCCCGTTTGAAAATAGAACTGTACCGAACGGATTTAGTTCTAGAACCGAACCGAACCATATGAATAGTCACAGTACGGGTACGGGTTCAGTCCAATATTGGACCGGACCGGACCACGCTCACCCCTAGAAAAATGACTTTATTTTGAAACACATCAGAGCACCACTCCGTATTTTTTATCTGGAATGGACGCCTAGTGTTAGACCCCTTTTTCGTGAAAATTCTAAGTCGGAATTTTACCGTGTAACACCTAGCTAGATTCATAGATCGATGATAGACGCACACATTCAAGCACTCATGTTAGCCTACACAAACTTTTTTCTATTGAAAAAATGGGAAGGACAATGTGGGGGTTGGCAGTCCAATTGGATTGGACGCTTTTACATGCTATGTTACGTTTTCTCTTTAAATGGGGAAATTAAAAGCCAAGCTCATGACTGGCTCTTCACCTCATTAACTTGATCTTTTTGAAGCGCAATAAAGAAAAAAGCATTTCTCATGCATCGAGTATAGGGTTGTAACTTGTAAATAAGAAATGAGAACTAAATCTTTGATTTTTTTTAGTTTTAAGCCATCCAAAATCAGGAGATTTATAAGAAAGGGCTACTTAAAATATAGATCAACGGGAACAACAGTGATAAGACAATTTTGTTATAGTTAGAGGGGGAGGTACAATTATACCCTGTACTTTGAGTATGAGAACAAATATATCCATATTCTATTTTTCGAAATAAATATACCCCTGAAGTATATGTTGAAGTGCATATATACCTTTGAACTTTCAAAAAGTACAAAAGTACCCCTCATATTCTTATAAAGAAAAAAATTTACCCTTATTGACTTTAACTAGATAAAATAAAATTAAAAAAACACCAAATATAAATTATAAATTCAAAATTTCACAATAAGACTAAAATTACTATTTACTAATTTGAAGTGCTTCATTTACAACGGA